ATCTTTGTGCAAAATCAATCCTTTTAGATGGTCATTTTGTCCATTGTTGATTCTCTCCCATTTCTAATAACAATATATATATATATATACAAATCAGATTTTAAAGCAAGCATAACCTTACAAGATTGGACCAAATATACACATTTCTGGGAGCTTCTAGCTTCTAGCGTTTGACAAAACGCTCTGTTATGAAGAGAGAGACTCGTTTGGCACTACAAGCTTCAAACGTTTAATTTAAACAAAACGCCCCAAATCCAAATGCTACTTCATGTAGCGTTTAACAAAACGCTACCAGCTACAAGTTATCTGCTACCCGGTACTAGTTACCCACTACCAGCTATTTTTACCGAACACGCGCTTCAACAAATATTGATTTTCAGAAACTAAGGAGCTTGATTTCAGCAAAAAAACATATATACATCATTATTTCACACTTCGAGCATACAAAACACCAATATAAACACCATTAATTCACATTTTCAAAAAAAAAACATCATTATATCGGATTTTCAGCAAAAAAAAAAAAAAAGCATCATTATTTCACATTTTCAGCAAAAAAACAACACATAAACGTCATTATTTCAACACAAAAAAAAAGCACATAAACAACATTATTTCAGCAAAAAAAAAAGAGCACATAAACGATATTATTTCATATTTCGAGCAACATACATCAATAAATATTATTTTTCAGCAACATTCAACAAGAAATTAAGCAAGAAAGGTTATTTTCAGCAAGATTTTCGGATTTCCACCAACATCCAAAAACAAAATATGATTTTTAGCACATTCAACAACAAATTTTAGCTATAAAAGGTATTTTCAGCAAGATTAAAGAGCATAATTTAAGTAAAATAGAGAGTTTTTTTTAACAAAGTAACCTTCAATTTCATATTAGAACAAGAAAAAAAAATTAGAAATAAGAGGTGCAAACCTGTTTTTGTTTTCAACGGAAATTCCGACCGTCAGAGCTCAACTGTTGGAGCGTCTGGTGGTGCATCTAGTCTGGACGATGGCACCAGGAGAAGGAGACGAGGTTGGAGATGATCAGAGGTGGAGGAGAGTCGATTGCGAGGAGAAGTGGAAGGATGTCGGCGACACTGATAGAAAAGAAAAAAGAGGCATCTTTTTTTTTTGTTTAGGTTAAAGTGAGTTTGCAGACCTTAGAAGTCATTGGGCCAAATCTATGCCAAGAAGACCTCGCGCAGACATTTTTAGCTCTGCGCACTTCCGAAAAACAAACACTTTGCGAAGGTATACGTATGTGCGTTGTATGCGTGGTGCAGACTTAAGTGGTTGCGCAAATCTTCTGGAAAAAAAAAACAGCCCCTTAGAGTATTCCTTACATATTTAAATACTTAGTGTATTCCAGTTTAAAAGGCTTAGAGTATTCCTTAATAAACTTAAACACTTGGTGTATTACAAGAGGCTTAGTGCATTCCACTTCAAAAAGCCTAAAATACTCTTAGTGCATCTCACACAAAGGCTTAGTGCATCATTCGCAAAATTTAAACACTCAACACATAATAGAAGCTCAATGCATCCAGCTCCCAATGAGTAGAAAAAGGCTTATGAAACTCCTAATAGAAGCTCATCGTTAAATGCACCCTGCAATGCTGAATATGCTCTTTAAGAAGTTAGGATGCTTTCCACAACAAGACACAACACATCCCTTAGGCGAGAAGAACACATTCAATCAGGGGAAGATGCCAAGAAAGTTGGTCAATATAGAAAACACACACATGACTATGCATACACAAACAAAGAAATGCATGCATTCAGAAAACATGTCAAATAAGATACAGAAAGATGAAGTAATATCCATCCAGACAATAGGATACACCCAACTAACTATTAAATCTACGACCACACATGGCCCAAAGGTCATGCCACAAAGGGCCCATAACATTCAAAAACAACAAAATAAAGAAACAGCTTCATAAGGTTTTTTCACCCCGAAGGGTAGCACAACGGTATAAGTACCCCAAACTCCACCAACATCTTCACCACCAACAACCTTAGCACCACCACCAACACCCTCCTCAACATTCTACCCAACACCACCACGAACACCTTCTTCAACATTCTGCACAGCGCCACCACCAGCACCCGCCCCATTACCACCAGTGTCATCCCCACCTGCAGGATCAACTATAGGCTCGTTAATATCCTCAAGAACGCAAAGTTTCCTTATCCCAACCATATCAAGTTGAGCCAAACCAAGCAGAGCAGTATCATTAAGAGCCGCAAAGCTAAGCAGCACAACATCAAGCCCCATGGTATGTCTAGATCGGGAATCACTCGCTTCAGGGTCATAAGTCCCAAAGTAAATTTCTGCCTTCAGTCCTGCGCGACCGGACTCCTCCCCAGCCACAAAAGCGGCATGGCGAATTCGGCTAACCCCACTAGTTAATTCTGGGTGCTCAATCAGCTTATCCATAATGCGCACAACCCCAATTTGTAGAAGCCAATCCCGGTCCCGGTGCAATGCCTCAGCTTCAGCCCAGGCCTCTTCAACAAGCCTATCTCGGTCAACAACATCATGCTCAAGATTTCATTTTGTATCATCAAACCTCATTAGACTGAGTGAGAGAATCAACCTTCGATTACAATTCTGACCACACCTCCTCCATAGCCATTTTCTTCGACATTAGGATATCATACTCCTGGCCAAATCTAAGGGTTTCTTTCTCGAGCTCTGCGATCTAACGCTTGTGTTCCACCTTATTTGCAACAAAACCAGCATGAGCCCGCTCCATCTCACTGAGGCGTTGAATGCGCTGGGAGCCAACCACCAAATAATTCATGGCTTGAGCAGCTGCATATGCCATATTATGAGAAAGTGCGGAACTGGCCATAGCATCCATATCAGCAACAACAGCCGATAGAAGAGCATGGTGGCCAAACTCTAAATTGTTGGTACGAACGGACAACCTGGATTTGTTGCAAAGATTCCAAAGTGGAATGAAGGGGGCTACACTAGGGCCAGCAAGGCCCTGTAGAACCTCCTTCGAAGGATCTTCATGGCACGCACCCCCTGCACACCACCTTGAAGAGGACACACTAGGGGTATGTATTGAGACAACTTTCATCGGAGTTGTGGACTAATTGAACTCCCTTTGATACCCATCAGACTGGTGTGCATCATCAACGGGACTACAAATCCCTCTGAGTCGAAGGAGATCGAAGTCAGCAGACGAGCGAGACCTTTCCTCTGCTGAACGCGTCGACTGACGTTGGCAATGCCAACATTGGAGGACGCCTCCTCCATGGCCATAAATTCTTTCTGATTGGCCATGGCTCGCTGGACACTCGAGATTATCTCGTCTTTGATATCTTGAACAAATTCAACGGACGAAGGCGATACAACCACAATGATCAGTTGAACATCTAGAAGTCGTTTGCCATCGGTCGCGGATGATCCCTCTAGTGGTTGCACCACTGGAGCCAGAAACACAACTAGATGGTCGACACGACATAATGGTGGAAGAGAATCGTGGAGATCAACCTCGCGATGCTCGAACTTGCCCCGATATTGTTGCCGCAGAGCATTTTCCATCGACACTGGAGACTCGACACCAACTAAAGCAATAAAAGTACTTGTTGGTCAATAAGTCTGTAAAAAAATGAGGGAAGAGAAGAGAGCAAGATTAGAAGCACTTACCGTCAACAACGGTATGGAAGATTGGCATCTTCCTTCGTGCACGCCAGGCAGGACTTATTCCAACACCGACAAGAGGACCTCTGAATACTCGTTGGGAATGACCTGGATCATTTTTAGAAAGTCAGTAATAGCCTGGTTGTGCGGAAACAGCTTAAGGATAACATTTGAGATGTTATTCGCCCGATAGTGCCCTTGACCAACTCGTTACCGGTTAATCCACAACCATTTTTCTTGCCAATTCTTGGGAGTTTTACCATTGGGAACGACGAAGTGACCACCACGACGAGCGTAGAATGTGAACTTGTCATCAGTGGCACTGAATCGGAAGAAGAATTTGAAGACAAATAAATCGGGAAGGATGTCATTCATCTCGAATGCCAGCATCTTGTTGAAGGTGTTCGAAGTGAGCATCTGAATGTTGCAACCATTTTTCTGAAGCAACTATTCCTAAAAGACAGTTAAGGGAAGACGAAGCCCAACATCGAAGGGTTTCAGATAAATTTCAACCCTCCCAGGAGGATGTGACAAGATCATCGAATCAGTGACAGGAAACTCCACTCCGTCCGACGGAGAAAAGCCATAAGTATCTCGCAAGAGTTCGAACTATGCAGGAGATGGGGCGGTGCCAGGTTGGTTTTCCATGAAAGCAGAAAGAGAAAGAAGAAGAGGAAGGTCAAAGAAAAGAGAAAGAAGGAAAAAGATAAAAGGCGTAAGTAGAATAAGGGAAAGATCTTCGTTTATAAGGAATAAGGGAAGGCGCGATATTCAAAATCTCTGACAGATGATGTAACTGACTAGCATAATGGGCAGTCACATCGCAGGAAAAATCGAAGCGTCTCTCGAACCCCATCTTGACATGTGTACTGGTAGTTAAGTCCAGAACATTATAGCTAGCCTGGAAAATGCTATAACTACTGGATTGTGGGACTTGATAACGTACCCCCTAGCACAAGCTAGGAGTTGTGCTCAACCGCGCTAAAGGCGCTTCAAGGAAGGCTGCTAGACCAAGCTACTCCTTGCATAGCCTCCCTAACGAAGTCTCGCGCCCGCGGGCGTCCCTTCAGAGTCGGACGTCTGCATGGAAGGCTCAGCCTTATAGCAGACGCCTTCCACTCCACGACAACCCTAAACAAAGTAGGGAAAACCTAAACGATCGATAAGAGGGACAACACTAGGGTTTTAGTATCTCATAGCTCGTAGCTGCCATCGGAGATAGATAGATATGAAGATAGAAGAAGACGAAGCTAGCGTTTTTGAAAACGCAAAATCTTGAGCTAGGGTTTCTTATATGTGGCGGAGGCGATGAAGTGGGCGACACCGATGTATGCGTTGAACAATGACAGTAGTAGCAACGAGTTTCGAATGTATCTCCGACGATAGACCTCCGCCGTCACCAACATCCTATTTACGAAACCTTCTTCATTTTTCCAGATCCGGCGAGAAGGTGTTACACATGAAAACAGATGGTGGCAGGATGGTGGTGCTCCGTCAAATCTTTCGGCCACATGTGGTGGTACTGATCAGTTGTGATGGTGGTGTTCATAACTCCGGCTGGTAGTGGAGGTGGTGGCATTATCTCTATGTGAAAATCAGATGAAGATAGGTAGAAAATAGAGGGAGGGAGAGAGAGTGTGGGGCTTGTTTTTTTTTCTGCAATCAAAAAATTAAAAAAAAAAACATAATAGAAAATTGGTAAAGTAATTAAAAAGGAAAAATGGAAAATACCTAGGGCAAATCTGTTTTTAAAAAAAGTTTTAAAATTTTGGACAAAACTCAAAACAAAATGAAAGTTTTGGACCGCTGGTGCCACTCTAAAACATTTTGGACCAAACATCCAAAATTTTGACATACCACAGGGACCAAATTTGCAATTTTTTTCTAAATGCCTTAGATGTTTATTGTAAAATGATAAATTCACAATTTTTATGATCAATTTTGTAATTATCTTTACATTTTAACCGTTCTACTTAAGAGAATCTTCAATGGTAAACCTACCCTATCACTTAATATTTTTGTCACCTTGTTATTCTAATAATTTTGACCTCTAATTAAACGAGCACTCCAATGGTTAAGCTTTTTCAATAGTTTTTCTTTTTATGAATTTAACTTATTAATCCTCATCTATCTAAAGTGTTTATAAAATCTCCTCATTTACTTAGTCGTCTTTAAACATATTGTATATTAATATGAAATATTTTAAATTAAGGCTATCATTATAAATTAGTATATAAACATTTCATAAATGAAAAACTATGTTAGAAATAATTAAGTAGTTAAATAAATGAAAAATATTTAAAACTAAAATATAACTAAAGAGATAAAAATAAAATATGTTAAAAATAGAAGATGTTTGATGTTTAAAATTTAATACTATATTGACATTCAATATATATTGAGTGGTCAATATAAATATATAAAAACAGTTCACTCTAATGATATTAAATGAAAATAAGTAATGAATTAATACAAAAAAATCTAAAATAAATAATCATTTGAGATGCTCTAATAACATCTTTATTTATTCCTTCTTAAATATTTTTATACTAGGTGTAAGACCCATATATATTACATGAGTTTATTTTAAAAAAATCAAAGTGTTTTTTCTATTTTAAATTTATACAAATAATTTAGATAAATAAATAAAGGAAACTAATTACTTTAATTTAGTAATTTAGAAATTAAAAGGAATGTCAATTAATGAAATTGATATATATTTATTTATACATTTATTGTAATTATTACATTTAAATATTATGTGAAATTTAATAAAATAGAAAAAATCATAAAATAACTTGTTGATAATATATATGTAATTTTTGAGAAAGTATTCTAGAAAAAAACTTATATAATTAAACAGGATTTATAAAAATAAATTGTTTAATAAAAACATTCTACCAAAATAAATAAGCTATATACTCTTAAATCTTAATAGAGGAAAAATAAAAATAAGATCGGATTGAGATGAATTCTTGATAAACACAATCTGAACAATCCTGCAAAGACTCATCCCCCCATTTTAGCGGCAAGTATGTGGCATGAGTTGGCTACCCTACACTTTCCTTTTCCCATTGAATCCTTTGATTTCATCAACACATCATTTAAATATTCATATTTTCAACGGCATGGCAAATTCCAACTGGAATAATTTTTTAAAGATTTCTTCAGATTCCTATCATTAATCATCAACAGATTCCTTTTTCTTTTCATCAGTTTCAGACTACAAGTCCAAAAAAGTAAAAAGGGTATCTTTCCAATCTTTGTATATATTTCAACTTTTATAATCAAATTCGCTAACTTCACGTAATTACACTGTAAACCCCTTTGGACTCCATTCTTGGTAACTTGTTCTCTTCTTCTCGCTCTTATTTTGTTTGATTACAGGAATGGAGGATTAATTGAACCCTAAAACAAGAATTTTCGTGTATTCTCGATTTATCGTCAATTTTGTATGGTGTTTTGGGCATGAAAAACCCAAAAACCCAGTTTTAAAAGAATCCCAGATTCATATGATCTACCAACTCAAAACAATCTTGCAAATTTCTTCTTGGGTTCAGAAAATCATAACCTTTCGTCTTTCTCTGTTTATACAGTATGGCAGTCATGAATGTCGCTGCTCCAAACGAAACTCCAGTGAAACTTGAGGTTTGTTCTCAAATATCTTCCGACTTTTTACGAAACTCCACATTTTTTTAGCCAATTTCCCTTATTTTTGTAGCTTAAACTATGAATAATTCAAGAATTGATAACATTTTGAATATTCAGGGGAAGTTTCTTGCAATTGTTGTATGCTGGATTCTTGGATTTGGATCTTTGGTCGCATGGAATAGTATGTTAACCATAGGAGACTACTACTATGAGTTATTTCCAGTAAGTCTTCAATTTCCTTAATTTCTTTTGATCAAACGAACAAATTGTTAATTCTTTTCGCATATAATAATATTTTCTGTTCTTATTTCATAGGATTATCATCCATCAAGAGTACTTACCTTGGTCTACCAACCCTTCGCAATAGGGACAATAGCAATACTTGCATATAACGAGTCAAAAATCGACACTAGGAAACGTAACATTGCAGGATACATCTTATTCTTTTTATGCACTTTAGCCCTCATTGTAGTAAGTCAAGTTTTCACCTTTTGACCTAGTAATTGTATTTTTATTCCGAAAACACCCTTCTAAACTTGTCTATACAGATAGATTTAGCCACATCAGGGAAGGGCGGAATTGGAAATTACATCGGTATATGTGTTTTTGTTGCCGGATTTGGAGTAGCCGATGCTCATGTTCAAGGTGGAATGGTGGGAGACTTAGCCTTCATGAAGCCAGAATTCATGCAAGTAAGTTTTTATTTTTATTTTTATTTTTAAACTCAAAATTATTGAATTTTACAAGAATAAGTTTTTGCAATAAATGTTTGTTGACTCTTTTGTCGGATCTTTCAGTCATTTTTTGCGGGTTTGGGAGCATCTGGTATTGTAACATCGGGTTTAAGGCTAATTACAAAAGCCGCATTTGACAAATCTCCCCATGGTTTACGAAAAGGGGCAAGTATGTATCATATTTTTTTCCAAAGATTCGAGTAAAATAATAATATCCAATCTTTAATTTTAGTTTGTTTTTTCTCGCAGTTTTATTCCTTGGAATCTCAACATTCTCTGAGTTTCTTTGCATTCTTCTATACGCCTTTGTGTTTGGTAAATTACCGATTGTGAAATATTATCGCACAAAAGCAGCAAAAGAAGGATCAAAAACTGTTTCATCTGATCTCGCAGCTGCAGGCATCCAAACTGAACCAAATGGAACAGTAATAATTTCTCTTATTTTATGTTAGATTGTGTAACATTTGTAAAATCGAAAATGTTTTTTTTACATTTTTGGTATTTTTTGCAGGCTGATATCGATGCTAAGGTTCCTGAAAGATTGAGCACTAAACAACTTCTAGTCAAGAACATCGACTATGCGTTGGATTTGTTCTTGATATATGTCCTTACTCTCTCCATTTTCCCTGGATTTTTGTATGAAAATACAGGACACCACCAATTGGGTTCATGGTAAATTCATGTTAAATCAATTTAGAATGTTTTTACTTTTTAGGAGACAAAAACTGACATTTTTTTGTCCTACATAGACAAAAATCGTCCCATCCAAAAAGTGGAGAACACTAGACAAATAGTTGTAAACAGGTTGTCCCATGTAGCAAATGCACAAAATTTAATGGTGTTTTTTTTTTTTTTTTTAATTTCATAGGTACCCTCTTGTTCTAATAGCGATGTACAATGCTTGGGATTTGATATCAAGATACATTCCTCTAATCGGATTTCTTAAGATTGAATCAAGAAAATGGCTAATGATTGCTACATTGACACGTTTCTTTTTTGTTCCCGCATTTTATTTCACTGCAAAATATGGTGATCAAGGTTGGATGATCATGCTTATATCCTTACTTGGATTGACAAATGGTTATCTCACTGTATGTGTCATGACTGTAGCTCCTAAAGGTTGCACGGTGAGTAGAAAACACATTACACAAAAATAAAAATAAAAAAGTTGATCAACCCAATTAATATAGCATTGTGTTTTTAATTTTTTTTTGTTAAGACATTTTACTTTGAAAATCTACATAATTATAGCAGTTTATAATGAGAATTGTGTTGTATTTTGATGACATTTCTATAAGTGTGTAGAATAAAGATTATTAGGAGATAATGTTTTTGGTTGGATTTTTTCAGGGTCCGGAAGCAAATGCATTGGGGAACATTTTGGTAATGTTTCTTCTAGGTGGAATATTTGCGGGTGTGGCTTTAGATTGGCTATGGATAATTGGGAATGGAAAATTTTGAAGGACAAATCGTGATTGGAAGGATTTTTATTGGTTGATGAATTTTAGTTATAGATCTTGATTTGTTATTTGATATTCGTGAACCCAGAAAAGTATAGTTAAAGTTGATATTTAAGTGGCTAAGGTATAAGGATGCACATGTCTAAAGGGTAAAGGTTCTTTGAATATAGGATTTTTTTTTTTTAAGTCTTGTAAGTTTTGTTTATTGTGTCTGTTGTTTATGTTGAAATGTGTTGATACAATCATACAATCATAAAGTCATATATTCTATGCGAAGATGATCATTTGTTGTTTTTATATTTATGGCAAAGAATGTGCTAAAGGTAACGTTTATGACTTTATTGCTTATGAGAGGTAAGAAGGGTTGAAACCAGGGGAGGAATTAGAAAAACTCGAAGTGCCATAACAATAAAATGTTACGAATAGTAATTTATCATTTTAAACAATTGGTAACCATGAGATTAAAAAGATTGGAATATTTAGATTTCATGATATGAGTTGGTTTCCAAGAGGAAAAGTCGTACCACGAGATTGTACAATCTTGAATTTAAAGTTTGTTCATTGAAAATTCTATTTGAATTATAGGTTGGCAACATATGCAAAATACGTTTTTACGTTTTTTTTTTGGTTTTACCCTGTAATTTTTATCCAACTTTTTAATTTTACCATTTTCACTAGTTTCTTCCATTAAACTCGCAAGAAAACTTCGCAAATTTTGTGTGGTTTTACTCTTAATATGTTTTTTTTTTCAATTTACCCTAAATACTTTTTTTTTTGGGTCTTCCCTTTCACTTGTTGACTCGGACATAGAAACCGTCATCTATGATGTCATGATGATCCTTATAAAAGGTTTATGGCATATGAGTGTTTATTCCTATTTTTACTCATGTATAATAATTTATACATAATATAGTTGTACAATACAACATTTTAAAGGACAAATTATTATGTATAGAGAAAAATTACTGTGTACAAATCATATCTCATTCTTCAAACTCTAGTTGTCAACTTGTCCTGTGTCTATGTTTTTTAAGGATTACTATTTCAAAAATCGCTAATATTTGCGGTAAAAGTTTGGATCTCATTTTCTATGCACAAGAGTTACAAAAAGTAACAAAAGTATATATAGTATCTTGGGTGTAAGACATACGCGTTACTTTAAATGGTGTCTATTATATATATGGTGTTAATTGCAAAAATGTAATTAAAGTGGTTTATGGATTGCTATTTCAACATCTTATAAATTTGCTTTAAAAGATTAAATCTCAGCAAAAGTTTAAAAAAATATATTAAACTTAAGTATATATATTGTCTCGAGTGTAAGACATATGGCATACCTTAAGTGGTGTTAAATATCATTGTGTTAGTTATATATATTACAGTAATTACAAAATTACAATTGAAGTAGCATTAACCATACACATTTTATAGTCAAAGTAGCACTAATTAAAATAATATTGCTTAGTTCATTGGTAAAATAAATAAAAATAGAAAGTTACCTGAAAGTTATAGGCTAAACAAAGAAAATAAATAAAATGTAAATGTTTTCTTTTATTATTAATATACTAATAATTACTACCTTTTATTAAAAACATTAGGCTGGAGGGAGTGGTGCCACCGAAACCGCACTCCCTCCTCCGCCATATAAGCGTCATGTCATTTTTTACCACACAAGTGTGGTTTCTTGCCACATCAAGGGGGTGGTGCCACACTTTTATTTTTTGTTTTTTTTGTTAACTATTTTAATTTAATAAAACTTATTTTTTTAATAAAAAAAACATAATTTTAAAAAGATAATATTTCATTAATTAAAAATACAAATACCATACATTACTTAACTTAAGAAAAACATAAAAATTTAAAAAAACATAATTTTAAAAAGATAATATTTCATTATGACTGGTGTTTTTTCTTTGCTGGGTCGTTTGTAAGATGACATTTTTCAAAAAAAAAAATAGAGAAAAGGAGTAGAGATATAGTTAAAGTTGTGTAAAAATGTTGTGTAAAATGGTAATATATATATATATATATATATATATATATATATATATATATAATAAAGTTTAAAAAAAAAATTAACCACAAAGACCGATTCAACGGTCAAAAAAGCAGTCAAAACCCATGGACCAACCACAGCACGCGGTAGTTTCTAGCCGCAGTGCGGCCAAGACCGCACCAGACCGCGACCTGGGGCGGTGTTTGCGGTTGACGTGGCACAAACCGTGGTCCCGGACCGCGTCCACACCCTTCAGCCTTACAAGGAAAAGAGAGGCCATGTGATTTGGTCTTTATGGCATGAGCTATAAAGGAATCCATAATCATGGCGCTTGAAAACCACCTAAAACATTGTTTTCATTTTGCAAACTTGATGCCACAAGATGATCAACAAGGTTGAAAAGTATCCATTCATAACAAATTTGAGTAATCAACAAACTCTCTTTTATGGGATGCTTTTATTCTTAAATCAAAGCTAGAAACTACAATATTCTTATAAAATGGCCACATTTATTCTTTAAAAAAATGAAAAAAAAAAGTTGTTTGATTGTTGTGTTTGAAGCCTTTGGTTGAATCCCTTTACACAAAGAAGTCCCAAAAATGTCAATCTCGTGTTTGTTTAAAATCAAACTTTGTAATATGTATTTCCATCCATTAAATTCTATATTCATATGCTCTCTTACTTCTTCTTTTTTCTTTAAAACAATTAAAATATACATGACACAAAGAGAATTAAAAAAGATAATTGAATCTTTATTATTATTTGAAATATGATTATGACCACATTTATTTATAGATTGACGATATATATAAAACACATGATATATTACAATATACAAAAAATACAGATTAAACTCTGTATTTGTCATATGTTGGAACATAATATCGATAACTAGATAGGTGTGAACAAGCAATGTTTTAAAACCGGGTCGAACCGGTTGGACTGATACTTAGGGAAGCAATCGGTTCAACTAGCACCGGTTTTACAAAAACTCGGTTGAACCGGTTATATTGAACCGTTAAAACTTGCTATTAAACCGGTTTTGATGAAAAAGCTGGAACATTTTTTATGAGGATGAAGTTGATAGTGAATTTTATTTGCTATGCGGTTGTGAAATTGATGCATTTAATTCTCCAATGTCTCAAAATATGTGATTTTGTTTGATCTTTATATGTTTGTATCCATTTAAAACTATATTTTGTTTTGGTATTATACTTTACGTTTTCTTTTTGATATATTTGGATTGATGTAAGACTTATGATTATGTGTTTTTTTAACGTATTAGATCTATCTACAACTTGTTATGTGTATTTTTAATATTTGAACTTGTAGGCGTCACTTCTTTGTTTTATATATGTGCATGCACGAAAATAAAAAATATAAGAAAATTCTAAAAGCTAGGTTCATTCGACGATCAAACCAGTTGAGTTTGACCAGAATCTAATCACTAGACTGATTCGATTAAAAAATCGATTTTGAATAGAATGTATTGATAGAAAAAGTCAATGGTTTGAGAGTATGAGAGTAAAATTCGATAATAACTATGGGCGTGTTTGGCACGGAGCTTTTGGAAGCGTTTGGGAGCTTCTACCTTTTAGCTTTTGACAAAATGCTCTAGTTTAAACAAAAAACTTTGTTTGGTAGTACGAGCGTTTAGCTTTTAGTTTAAACAAAACGCTCTAAATCTAAAAGCTACTTCATGTAGCGTTTAATAAAACACTACTAAGCTTTTGAAATCAATTTTCATAATTACCCTTAAAAATATATTTATATATTTATTTATTTTTAATCAATTGTCTTTTTATGTAATTTTATATATTTCAAAAGCTTCTAGCTACTTTTGCCAAGCACTCATATAACAAATAAAAGTTATAGCTTCCCGCTACACGCTACAAGCTACCCGCTACCCGCTTCCAGCTAACAACTACTTTTGTCAAACACGCCCTATGTTTAATTATGTCTCATGGGCTATGGCTCCTAAATCATGTAGCCAATCATTGATCATGATACAAATAGTTACAAAAGACTCTAAAATTTTAACATGAAAATTTATCTTTACCAAGTATGGTTACAGATGTGATCATAACAAAAATAAAGAAAACTTTTGTGGCCTTGATGGGTGGGCCGGCCTTATACTGGTGGCCCGAACACAAGACCATTGTCCTGCTGTCCAGCTGTGGTCTAGTTTATGTGATATGGATCCATATGATCCGACCATTTGAAATATCCGATGCCAACAAGATTTTCAATGATAAAACTATAAAAGTACTACTTTCGTAGATGTTTAATATTATAATATATTATAAAAAAGATATTATTTCTATTATTATCCATATGTATTTAAAATTTTCATAACTTTTTAATTTCTAACTTAATATAATTAGTCTATTAGTTTAAATATAATTATTATAATGTATTTATTTGTTAATTTAAATATTATATTAAATTCAAAATATAAAATAAACTTAAAAATAAATATTCAAATACTATTTTTCAAAAGAGTTAAAAAAAATTAAATATGATCAATGTAGATAGACAAGTCAAATTAAATAAAAAATATTAAAAACTATTTTTTTATTATAAGTCAAAATTTTCAAATAAATGAGTTTTAATTGATTAACAGAAAAATTTGCATTGTGTTCTCTTACAAACAATGATTCATATATCAATTAACTGTCATGATAGAAATTATAAAAATTCAATAGATAAGTAATATCTAAATTAATCAATCATAACGTTAAATTGTAATATTAAACCCTAAGTCGTGTTAAGATTTATTTAAATGCAAACTACATGTAGATGCTATTGAATGATGTGATTATGATAGATGTAAATTTTATAATATGATTCAAAATAATTAAAATTTATATATCAATTCATGTAACGTCCCAAAAATCATAGTAAATTTTTTTCATTTTTAGAGAAATAAAAGTAGTTTCCAAATAACCATAATTCATCGGAACATTGTCTCACAACATATCATAAAAATCAGAGTATCAAAACATAATATCTCTCAAATAATAAGACTGCTGGATGATATGTACAATCATGCATTCCCCCTGCCCCGATCCTCGGAAGTACCTGAAACATTTAAATCCACAATTGTAAGCTAAAATTTAGTGAGTTTTCCCAAAATACCTTATACAACAATACACATACAATGCATGCATACAAGGCCTACAACACAAGGCTGGACAACCATCTGAAGCCTAAAGCATCCAAGTCGAGCC